TAGATCAAGATTTATTTTCATAGATGCAATTTGCGACATATCACAATATTTATTGTTGTGATTCTTAATTGGTTAATTTGATACAAAATAGATGGACGACTAAACGGAAATAACACAGTGGACCACATTACAATGTTTTTTGTTCTTTGAGGGGGCAAGATGAAAATTTTTGTATCTTTCGGGGGGGAAAAATGGAATTTACCCTTTATTTATTGATATCATTTTATTGAGGACTTCTCTAACCTGAAAAAGCTTAGTCAGGATTTTATAGCAAATGTTACCCAAACTAATGGGTCTGAATTGTGTTGTCTAGTAGACAAACAGAATTTGCAACTACATCCCAACATTTTCTAGTAGAAATAGGCTTGCAATCCATTGGATCCAGGAGTTTTCACGCTTTTGAGTTTGAATGTTGTCTTCCTAATTTCCTCATCTGTTACAGGAAGTTCAAGAATACTTTTCTCTCAATCCGTTAGTTTAGTCTGATAGTTGTGATATGTGAGATCAGCAGAGTAATCTTGTTCATTAGTGAATTGGTTCCTATAAAGAATTGGGATTTCATTAGAAATTTGTGCTTGATCTGTCATTCCACACACCTTGTGATTTTTTTAAGGTTTGAGGTCTATTCTTTTTCCTTCTTATAATATTAGAGACATGGAAGTATCTAGTGTTTTCTGTCTCCTAAAGTTATCCACTTAGGCCTACTGTTTTGGAACCATAAGATATCCTCCTGAGCTAGTGTATTCTAATAAAACTTGGGCAATTCTGCTTCAAATCTTTCTAGATTATGTGAGTAGTGTTGTTCTTGAGCTTTTTAGATTCCTTTACATAGAAGATTGAGAGACAGAAAAAATCAGAAAAATGGATTGAGAGCCAGCTGCATATGTAATACAGATTGGCAGCAATGAAATTGACGGTCCATAATAGAACATGTACATAGAAGATTCTCACTAGGGGAACAACTAGGGTGGGCTGAGATTCATTTGGGCTCATTTTATGATATCCTCTGTTGGGTTTAACTGAATTCAATTATATCCAAATTTTTTTTCAAATCAAATTGTGAATGTTTAAAATATATGCTTATCCAAATGCCCAATTTTGATTTCACTAAATAATTGTTTATTATTGTTGCTTGCATGACTTACCACAATTACAAAAGGCTTCATTGCATTAGAGACATATTATTTGCAAGGCATGCTAATGAAGACGTGGAGTTAGAGGAGGAAGACAATGTAAACCAAACTTCTTTTGAAGAGAATATTGATTTGTCATATACAAATTCAATGTATAGGAAAAGAGAACGTATTGCTTTAGCAATTCTAAGGACAATCACGCACGATTTTTGACTATATTTACTATTAACATGTATTTTGCGACTTTAGTATATCATTGAGATAATATATATATATATATATATATATATATATATATATTATATATATATATATATATATATATTATATATATATATATATATATATGTGTGTGTGTGTGTGTGTGTGTATCATTATATGTGTAGTGTATGTTTGTATATGTGCATTCAATGCTATTAACAATTGTGACACAAATAAATATTTTCACATTCAAACGTGTTTTTTAAAAAATACATTAATTTAAATATTTTAAATTTTGAATATCTAAACAATATTTATTTAATAAAAATATTTTTCTTATAAACACTTTTAATAAACATTTATTAAAAAAATATTTTTTTGATTTCATAAACCATCCCAAACACACTCAATATCATACAAAATATACGTTAGTAACTATCACGAGTGAGCATTCACCGGTTCATTCAATGGTTTATTATTAGATTATGATACTATCTATATAATTAAATATAACATAAAAAAATAATTTTTATTTTTCACTATTGAAATCATTTTAAATTTTAATTTAAAGTTAATCTAACAGTTAATATTAACTCTCTAAATTTAATAGAAAAAATATGTCTCCTAAATGTGTATTTGATGTGACTTTTCAAAAATGTTTCTAGAACTTATGACTTCTCATAAACAATTTTTTTTTAAAAAAGTAGTATTTGAAACAACTTATTTTAATTACTTTCAAGTAAGTCAAAAGTAGTTTTACCACTTAAATAAGTAAGTAAAAGTTAAAAAAAAATATATTTCTCTATAAAATACTTCACTACCACCAAAGCCGCCGTCACCCCAACACCACCACCGTTTTCGCCACCCCAACACCACCACTGTTGTCATTACTAGGTCTGTCAACAAATCGGATATAGACCAGATTCTGTCATATTCGAATCTGAATCTGATTACGATTTACGTGATCTGATCGAATTCGATTATCCAATGGATTTGAAATTTGTAATCCATATCTGAATCCATGAACTTTTGGATATTCCATTCGAAAATACGATCGATCCGTTTATGTACAAAGTAAAATCAACCTACAAATATCTCACAAATTATAACAAATTCAACTTCGTACAACAAAAAAATTATAATACTTACTCATTTGAAGCCTTAACAAGCAACAGAAATTAAATATGTCAACCTTAATTTTAGTTATAAAAGTGAAGAAGAAGACACAAGGAAAAAAATGTGGACGATGAAAAAATATCGATGGATATAAATTCACAAGATATAAAAAATAAAAATAAAAAGATATATATACAATTCAAATCGAATTGTTAACAGATTAGATTTGATAAATCCATTAAATATAACATAATGTATTCGGATTCAAATTTGGATAATCAGTAAAATTATTAATTCATATCCGGTTAATTGAATTCGGATCAACATCCAATCCATTGATAGGCCTATCTGCCACCTCCCCACCACCACCGCCACCTCCCCACCATCACTGCCGCCATCGTCATCCACCACCCACTACCATCATCATTTAATTCTTATATTTATTACCACTATTACCATCATTCCACCACTACTAGGCCTGACAATCGTGTGGAGTGGAACGATTTCGTGTCGGGTAGAACGGGTTTGTATCAAAATATCCTTTATCCATATCTCATTCGTTTATATAAATGAGTTCAACTATTACATTCATACACGAATCATTTATTAGACGGATTACCCGATACAACCTGTGTGTCACCCACTAAATAAGAGAATAAGTTATAGTATTTCGAGTACACACGAAAAATCATCAACTTGTTACACATTACACATGTTTGACTTGTTTACTATAATAATAAATCATGGCTGAGCAAAAAAATAAGACAACAAAAAAATATTAAATGACTATTAAATTTGAATGAGTCTAAGAGATGAGAGGTGTGATATGAGGTAGATGCTGAGAGATCTAACTTTTTTTAAAAAAATTTATAGTACAACTGTTAACGGGTTAAATGGGTTGAAACGAATTTATGGGTTAAACACGAAATCGGTTCATTTATTTCACGGGTTTGCCGAGCTAACCCATTAACTATCCGAACCCGTTAAAACTACAATCAAACCCACTAAATCTGTGTTAGATTCATATCGGTTTCACGAGTCATGTCTAGAATTGCTAGGCCTAACCACTACAGTCGCCCCACCGTCACCACCTACCACCATCACCCATTACCCTAACCACCACCACATGTCGTTGTCCATCATCGCCACCATCCATTGTCACCCCCCCTCCACCACACTTACCACCATTCATCCTCGCCCACCACCCACTATTACCCACCCCCCAACCCCACCACACCTACCACCACCATTGTCATTCGCCACCACCACCACCACCATTGTCATTGCCCGCCACCACAACCCATTATTGCCACCATAATTGTAGTTGCCCCACCACCATTGCTAATTATTATCATTGTCGCCCTCCACCATCCACACCCAAGGCAAGAGTTAGGAAAATTTTTTAAGGTGGGTACACTAACATGATTTAATTTTTTGTTTAATAGATCGTAAAAGTCCATAAAATATTTCTTTTATATATAAAATCGCAGTAACAATATTTCATTTAAAATCTTATAGTTTACTACATAACGATACACATTTTTATATAATAAAAAAATAACCCTACAATTTAAAAAAAATATATAAAATAACATCAATATGTTCAAAACATATTCAGACATGGTTGAAACATGTCTAAAAATTAACAATAATATTAGTTGCACATAATTTGAAATTTAATTGATGAAGACCCAATAGTTTGTGATCATTGGATAGATAGTAGAGTTTATTAAATATTAAAACTCACTATTATATTTAATATCGCAATGTATTAGGTCCTTAAATTAAGTTTCAATAATATTGTTCAAAAAGTTAACAATCATTTAAGTAATGATCTATTCAATTCGATATCATCAAAATACAATATTAAGGTAAACATAATTAAATATGTCTAAATTTTATTTTAAAAAATACATACCTAATATGAAGTAAAAAAAAAATTGAGGAGGAACATGTGCCCAAGCCTAAGGGTGGCTCCGCCCCTGTCCACAACACCACTACCACTGCCATCACCCATGACTGCTACTATCACCATCGACACCCAAAAACCCACCACCACCATTGCCGGCCATGATCACCACCACCACTGCAATTATCGCCACCCACCACAAACTATCACCGTCTTCCACAACCACCACTATCATTGTTCACCCTTTACAATCGGTACTTAAATTATTTTATCTCTCCTCCGTATTTATGATTTGATTGAATATGAATACAAACATATTTATGATTGACAATTTTTTGTTTATTACTCTATGTCTTCGTGCAACGCGCAATAAATAGTGTTCCAATAATACACCATTGTAATGAATATTTACGTCAATCAATGCTGTTGCACTTGCTCACTGTTTCTTGCCAAAACTTCAGAAGAAATCAAATAACTGAGTTTAAGAGATTTTCGATTAAAATGATGTTTCTAAAGCTAGATTAATAGCCTTTTCTTTGATTCAAAGGAGTAGCTTGATAACATCTTTGACACAGTTCACGAGAGATGGTGGTTAAATTCCAAGGTGTTCCATTTTTCAGTCGAAATGCATATAATCAAGCTCAGAGCTCTGTTAAGGGGATGCTAGTTCCAGTAATGACTAATAATAGCCAATGATGTAACTTCAAATCTTTTGATAACAAGTAAGGCACAACACAGTATGAGGGGGCCCCAATTGGAATTTCATTGTACATAGTTTAAGCAAAAGAATATACAACGGCCCTCGATGTTACCAGATGAATCGGAAAGAAGGCATATGACTAGATCCAACCTGACAAACCATATCTGTCAGCAACATTGTACATGACTAGTTCATCCCAAACATGGCCGAAAAGCTGTTCCCCTCCGATGGCAAAGGTAAGCGCCCATGAAGAGAGAAGAGCACTGAACACTGTGAAACCAATAGCTGATCCTACAACATCTGCAAACGGGTAGATTTGCAAAGACTTCAGGCCATAAAAAGAGAAAAGCATAGCAGATGGATTGGAAGTACAAAAAAGATGATAAACTAAAATGACTTAATTTAGACCCACAATCCACACGATTGATAAATTTAAAAGAAAACTAACCAATCAATATATAATTACATGGAAAGGAAAGTGTTTACATTAACTTTGAGATCATAAAACTAAAGCTTCATTGTATCATCAAAATATCATTATTTACTAAACATGAATATGTAGTTTCCGAGATTTTTAAGTCACGTCTAGTTAAGTTTGACTTCGATTCAAGCGACAACTTGTGGTTTCAACTGGTATGAAAAATAACATCAAAAATTTTCAGCCCGATTTCAAATGCGGCTCCACAGAAAATCATGTAGTTGTACATCAAGGTTAACATAAAGCGTTTAGCAAAAATAATAGGTCCCGATAGTATGATGGATAAAGAGATTATAAAGCAGGAATCTCCAGTTCGCCAAGAGCCAAGAAATTCAGTCAACACCATGACATCACAAGATACTCAAAATGCCTGTATTATGATAGTAGGATTAAATTAAATCCACGCCATGACATGACAAAGAGACTCCAAAGCATATGACATGCCATGACTATCATCAACCAGCCATCTTTTATGCAGGCATCTTAACTAACATTCATTCATTGAGCTATACTCCTAACACATACATCAGTTTCTTATTCCATCTTACCCAATTTCCTATAGCAACTTAAAGCACATAAAAGTTCACACAAAAAGTCTAGATTTTCTAACTGCAGGTGAACTCATTGACAAAATCAAGATGTCCTAGAGTACAGAAACAATCAGCATACAAGGACCCTCACCCAAATTTCAGACTTTGGTTTGGACATAATAATTTTCACATTCAAGGTTAGAAAAAGAAATGGGTCACAAAAACATTCCATGGCGTTAAGTATGACTCATGGAGACCAGTATAATCTTTACTATATCAATGATCATCCCAAGTGAAAATATGAGAGCTTTGGAAGGTAGAGCTAACAGCTTTTTGGTAAGTTTTCACTTGTATTATATTTTTATTACATGATATCTACTCAATTCTTCAAGCAAAAGAACAAATTGCTGATTCTAAAAAGCATTATGTGATTCCTTCCATGCTGTTTCTAAATGTTCATGAATTATGGCCCAGATAATTTGAATCCAGAAAACTTAATAGTGATATTCCTTTTCCACAAATAAATTGTCGCCTAATGATAAGAAACCATTAAACTTCTCCTAGAAGATCATGCATTACAGTATCTTGTTGAATATGTCCACCCAAAAAGACAAATACATATTTATGTGTGGGCATTACCTCACCGAGGTACTTTCATAACCATATGATTTTTAAATGATATTTATCTCAGGCATAGATTAATTGGTTCAACTTTCATCAAGTCCCACCAAGCATGACGATAAATAATTACGACAGCTTTTAATAATCTAAAACCTAGCTCGGGAAGGCTCCAGACTTCTCCCTCCCATTATAGTATTGCTGCATGGATCCTGCACCAAGAGTTTCACGGTCGGTGTCAAAACATATTCATCATTTCATTTTTATTTTGTTGCCAGCCCTCTAATATTCCACAGTCATCCTCTTTAAAGAAAAGGACACACTTTTAGTTCCAAATCTTACTCAGCTTTATTCCTCCTCCCCTTATATTTCATTTTGAAAACAGCACACCTTATACATACAACGAGTTCATTTCGGTCAACCAATAAGGCCAATTTTAAAACCTGACATAGCTTCTGATAATTACCTCACCAGCCATGTGAAGTCTCTGTTTCAGTGTTTCTTTTTCTTGGATAGGTATGAAGTCTTAGCCTTATTTAAGCATTTTTCCATGCTATTTATAGATGCAAACAACTAAATAAACAATACAGTTGAATTTGTTAACCACAGACAAGGTTTTGTTAATCAAGAGGCAGTTGTTGGAACAAAGTAATATTACTACTTCTGAAAACACTGAATAACTGTAGAATAAATAGGTAGGAAATATTCAATTTACATAAGCATTATACAGAAAATTCTTTATAGATAGAAGTTTCAAGAGAACATGACATTTTGACAGATTAAATAGATTCCCCAAAAAGGAACCAAGCAACGATTTCAGAAACCAACTAAAGATTTCCATTCCAACTATAGCGCATCATAAAGCTACAATTTCCAATCCAACTCTAGGATATACTAAAGGCTATATACTCCTATTTTAGAAGATTTATTTCATCATCCTACGCAGCAGCTAACAAGGTCCAGATGCAGTACACCTGGAGTCCACGCTCATTCACCCATACAACTGTTTTTAAAAATTGCAGTCTGATGTCAGAATCATCAGAAATGCTTCTAAATAAGAAAGGAGAAAACTGACAGCCACCGAGACTGCTAATCCTTATGTATGAAGACCTTTCCCTTATGCCAATTGAAGTTGAATTCATCAAGCACCACTCTGTCAACAACATAAACCTAGTTGAGTTGGGACAGTTACCACAGCTTCTCCTTAGAGTTTTACATTCTCTTGTTACAAGTGGACATGACTTCTACAATTTAAACTGCAAAACGGAGTTACACAATTACTAATACAATTTTATACTGCAAAGAAAAGTGATCCCACCTCCCAAGCTCTACAATCTTTTGGTAGTTGTGCACATTACTTCCAGATAAGATCATGACATATGGATTTGCAGGGTCACAATTTTAGATTTCACTGCTACACTTTGTTATACATCGAACACCGAAAACAATTTTTGGTGCCCACGATTTATTTGGTTACAGAAATCACACAATTAGCCTTTCTCTTCAAACTGACCCAAAAAGGACTTTTAGCACAGGGTGACTGAAAAAGACTTAAGATTTCTAGACATCCGAGAGAGAGAGAGAGAATATATATTCTAAACCCCACGTCAGAATTAGAGCAAGCTGATAGAATTGGATAATCATTATGCGCTGTTGTGGGGGGTAAATACCATTCAAGACAAAGGACATTTCTGTAAAGAAGAATGGATAATCTAGAATACTAATGTATAAGGTTGACAGAATATCAAGGCTAGGCATCCTTAATGATACCAAATGCAAAGGAGTCAAGAAACAACATCCGTAGCATAAGCATAAATTAGTTGAGGATACTGCAGTGAGGTAAATAAGAAGCGATACATTAGGAGATTGGACATAAATTTTTTGTTCATGAGAAGCTCTAGAGAGCACCAAGACCAAGATTGGAAAAACTAAAAAGCATTCTAAAATGGCAAGGCAATGCATACTGAAGAGTAATGGCTGCAGTAGCAAGGAGTCACTGAACTAAAGGAACAATCCCTCACAAAGACAGCTGAATATCTAAGACAAGGGAATGATCTATCACTAGATCAGAAAATACCCCAAGGTCCATGTCTGGAATCCCCAAATTTCCAATTGGGTCCTTTAATTCCCCAAAACTTCAAGAACAACTACAGATTTGTAGGTGCACTCGCATGCACACATATATCAGTGATCCAACCTAGAACCAAGGCATACATGTGGCAATTCATAGAAACCATATCCCCTAAATCAGAAATTGATCTCTGAATTTCACAAAGCACTGAAATTTTTAAATTTCTAAATTGTATGAATCCCACAGGTCTTACGAATTCTGGACAGATATCAAACCATCGGAGTAATAAATGCGAAGAACAACTATATTGGTACTAATTCAAACTCAGAAAAATGCCAAAATTTTGATGAAATGTCTATACATCTAACCAACCACGCAAGAGTTAACAAAGCCCACGTCTGAATTCCCCAAATTTCCAATTGGGGTCGTGTAACTCCCCCCAAGACTTCAAGAACAGCTACATATTTCTACGTCAACACCAGCACGCAGACACTGAAACACGCACATATCAACCATCCAATCCTAGATCGAAGGCATACAGATAGCAATCCACAGAATCCATATCCCCAAAATTAGAAACGAATCTCCGAATTAAAATAAAACGTAAAAAACTGCTCATACATACATACGACAATACCCGTGTGCACACACATTCATATATAGGCAGAGATGCGAGACTTACAGCGACGGTGTTGGGGGAAAGAACGGGAGTGACGAAGAACAGGCCAAAAGTAGAAGCAATTGACGGCCCAAAGCCAAGGAAGGAGAAAGAACCCCAACTTGAAGAACCTGCGAGCGTAGACGATCGAGTCTTGCTCCGAGAGTCCCAGTGGTCCGTCAACGGTTGGCCACTGAGGTCGAGAAACAGACGATGACGACAAAGGATTAGGAAGGTCGTCGTTGTTGGAATTGGTGATAGGAAGTATGGGATTAGCTGATTCGGAGGGGGTGTATCTCTCCATTCTCTCTCTCTCTCTCTCTCTCTCTCTCTCTCCGTGCTGATAGACTGTTTGGCTCAGCGTCCTGACTTTGGCTTTTGGGCGTTTCAAGAGGCTCAGTCACTCGGTGCTCTTTTTAAGTTAAGTTCCATTTTCAGTTAGTCAAGCATTAGCTTTTTTTTTTATTCAAAAAAAAAAAGCATTAGCTTTAAAAATATGCACTTAATTTTTATTTTGTCAATATAATTTTAACTGAATGGTAAATTTTTAGAGTTTTAATCAAGTTTTTATTTTTATTTTTTCATATTGATTTAATAATTTATTCTAGACAAAATAATCTCACAAAACTTAGCCAACAGGGATAAAAATATGGATTTAATTATTGTGCCGACAAAAAAAATTTGGTACCATACCTCTAAAATTTATTTCTTCAATGAGTGTTTTTATAATTGTTTTAAGTTATTTTATAATTAAAAAATTTATCATAAAAATATTTTTATATTTTCGATGAGTATTTTTATAATTTTTGTGGGTCATTTTATAATTAAAAAATTTACAATTTGTATCACTTTTATTCGGTATAAAAAAAATTATCACTTTTGTGGGTGATTAACCATATTTGTGGTAACTTTTTTTATTATTTTTTTGGGCATCGCATAGTGATAAAAATATTCCTAACAGTGATAATACTATTTATAAATGTAATAAATAAAGGGATGATACCGTTCTATCAAACGAAAAAAAGTATGGTAACGATTTTCTTCTTCTTTGAGTGCTATAGACAACTCCTAAAAGTATATTACAAAAATTGTGTGTCTCGTTTTCTAAAACATATGGATGCTTCTCCCTCGCTAAGACTGTAACACTTGAGTTGCAATTAATTTATCATAATTCAAGGACCAGTGCTCTAATTTCCTGAATAAAATTATAATTAATGATTGAATCTCAAAATACATAATAAATCCTGTAATATCAAAATTATGATAATTATCTCGATGTTCATTTAAAAATTAATTAAACGCGAAAGTATATAATATGATAAAAAATAATATGTCCAACGATAAAATTACAAATAATTGAATACTAAATAACTTAGTCGATAGATAATTGTGAAATCATGAATAAAATATGGCATATCACATGATTCAACTATTCAATACACATAACTTTATACTCGGTTTATCTTATTAACATGATAAGTGACACTTTTAGTATAAATTCAAACTCAAACTGATTAATCACAACCCACAGGCCGACATCTATATTTCACAAAATATGTCATAAGTGCATTTTGTAAAAAAATTAATCTATCCCAAAGTAATTAACTCAAAACACATGATAGCTCAATAAAATTCACATAATTTCATATTAATTAAAAATAGCGAATAGGAATACGAGTTTTAAAATAATTAACAAAACATTCTTTACAATGAGATTTAAACACAGAAATATATTGTATATTACCCCGTATTTCAAATCAAAATTGATAACGATAAATTTGATCACCACCATCTTAAGAACAACATACACAAATTTTATCTCGATCGTAGTTCGTTTCGTTGTTGATCTTTACAAATTCCTCTTCCTCTATCTTCATTCTCTCCATTCTTCTTCTCGGTTCCTTCCTTTTTCCTATGCCCCATTCTTGTATTGTCCTATTCTTACAACTCACCATTTGCTATTGATAAGAGGGAATAACATGAACCCCAATTGTTTTGAATAACGGTAACGGCCACTGCAACGGTAATATTAACGGTATAACGAACACAAGGTACAACGGGCGTTACATAACGGTAACGGACATCGAATGTGTGAATTTTTTTTTCAACTCGCAATCTCCCATAGAACATGAATATTTATATGTTTCAACTTAAAATCATGCAAATATGGGTGTTTAGTGATTTAGTGCATTTTATTGTATCATAAATATGATAATAAAATATCATAAGTATTAATAATATTTCTTAAATCACTATGCATTAGTGACCTTTCCATTATCAACAATTGAACAAATGAAATGCACAATTACAAATCTAATAAATTATTAAATGAAACATATTGATAGAACCAAAATAATTTTCAGAATTGTACAATACAATAAAAAAGAGAAGACAATAACATTACCTTTCAACAATCTCACCACAAAAAAAAAGGACGTGGAAGATCCAAACATTGAGATTGAGATTGATCTCGGTTACTTCCATTATCATCATTCCATCATGTGGGCAACATATAAGTAAATGTTTCAAATTCAACTTCATCTTGTCGTGGCTGCTCTCCATATGTATGCAACGTCAAGTAATTATTAGCGGTCAAAAGCTCTAAAGAATTATCTTGGGGATGTAACGGTGGAGGGTAGTGTTGAGGAAAATAACTATAAGGGTAGGGTCTATAATTTCCAACTGGATAGTCTGATGAGTGGTAGTTTTCATTACCACTACATATGATGAATCACCAAGGGTGAGATCACTCAAACTCTGCATGACACTAGATTAGGAATCTTCATATTCATACCAATTTCTCGTATTTCTGCTTGATTTTTTTCCATGCCGTAATTGTTGACCATAAGCTTCTTGATCAACTCTAACCGCACTAAGTCCATGATCCCCATGATCCCTGCGAAAACTGAATCATGACAATTATAACTATAACTCTGAGCTAAGATTAGCTACCCGATACAATTATAACTATAAATTTCATTAGACTAGCAACCCGATGACCCCCCCATCACCATCATCATTATTGCCATTACCACCATCATTATCGCTTTCAGTGGGTGCAAGACTACAATTAGAGCCTTGGTTATCAAGTGACTCAGATGAGTTATGTATTCATTATCATCATTTTCACCAAAAGAATTCATCCAAGAGCGAGGTTCCTTATCCAATGGCATCAATGGTTCTCACTTTTCTTCTAACCATGGATTCAAGGGATCATCTTTATGAAATATGTAATTCAAATTGATAGGATTAAAATTATTCTCAATCTCTTTCTAGTTCTTTTGCATAGTATGCCTAATTTTCAATTTCATGTTATAGTGAATGAAAACAAGCTTTTAGAGTTTAACATATCTTAACCTGTTTCTCGTCTTGGTGTGAATAAGACTCCACGTGCTCCAATTACACTCACAACCAAAAGATGAAGTAGTCTAACTTAGTACCTTAATTGCTATACTTTGAAGCTCAGAAGCATATGAGCCACAAAGAATCCACCATTCAACTGCATAAAATAAATTTTGATGAATTCACAAATGAATAAACATACATTGACTACATATTATAAATTGTAACTTAGCTTATTAGAATTTGTTTTGTTAATTGCTGCTTGTGCAATATTTGATTCAAATGTTTCTGCTTTATCCCAAAACAAAAACATCTACATACATTATAATTGTGAAAGAACGTGTATTAGATAACATATTATTCAAATAATAAATAAAATTGTAAGTAAACAAGCACTACATACCTAATTTATTGCTTTAATCTGACATTCAATATTCGGCTCCAATCTTTGTATTTCTTTCTATGTTCCATCCATTGTTTCTCGGAACGTCTCTCTAGAGCTGGTAGTAGTATACTAGAATTATGGATTCAAAAAGTAACCTACTCATATAGAAATATTAATTTTTAGTTCATTATGACTACTTATTTATCTACACACATAACATGTAAATTTCATACAAGTAATGAAAAACATAACTTTGTAGTTCATACTTACCAGCAGCATGCACATCATGATGTAACTGAATAGACCACCGATGATCAATAATCTTTCAATAGTTAACCTAATATCGAGAATCTTTTTTAATAGCCAACTTTGCTCGATCCATTGCTTCATATATAAAACTCATTGTAGGTTTCTCATCTCCATCTAATAACATTAACAGCTTAACCAATGACTCTGGAACATTTAGAACTTCATTAGCTCTCTTGCAAAAGTCTTTGCCCATAATCAAAATTTTCACATCACTAGGAGAACCGGTTTTCATCTTCCTAAAACTAGTCTCCTTATAATTATCATAAGTGAACAAAGCTTTTAGGTTATCTTTCTGCCTAATAATGCTCTCAAGTGCAATGAAATTTGTGGCAAATCTGGTAATTGAAGGACGTAACAATTCTTTACCATTTGTATATTTTTTTCATCAAATGATATACCCTTGGATAATTATAAATGAAACCTATGATAGACTTTGCATCATCTAGGACCTTTGTAACAGATTTTTCTTGTTTTTGAAATGTCTTCTAGTATAAGATCAATACAATGTGCTGCACACGTTGTCCAATACAAACATGGTCTTTTCTCTATCAACTTATTTCCAGCAGTCTTAAGAGTTGCTTTATTGTCAGTCACTATTTGGATAACATATTCTTGTCCAATCTCTTCAACAACCATATCTAACAAACGAAAATAGTAATCTGAAGTCCTACTTGCCACATTAATGCATCAACAGACTTATGAAAAATTGTACCTTTATTACAATATATCAATAAGTTAATGACGTGATCTCGTGTTTGATCAACCCATCCATCAGACATGATAGTAACTCCTCTCTCTTTCCATGTAGACCGAAAAAAACTTAATCTATTTCTTCATTACATTGACTTCTTTATTCAAATATATCTCAAACACCTCATAAGAATTAGGACCTTTAACTCATTTTCCTACTTCAGCAGCAACGTCAAGCATTGGTTGAGTCCAAGGAGAGTCTACTACATGAAAAGACAAATGGTTATATAACATGAATTTGGAAAACATATCTTCTAACCTTTCCCTTCTAATCTTTTGGTGATTTGAATTTATCTCTAGCTGCTTAGAACTTTTATTTCTCAGAAAATCAGGATCCATCTCCCTTAACCTAGCTTGAGGAGTATCATAATTAATCCAATGTCGAGCACTACCATCAACTTCCTATTCATGAACTAAATGGGATCGTCTTAACCTACCTCCATCTCTACCTCTAAAACTACCCCCACCTCTGGAACTACCTCCCACGTTATACTATGACACATGTACACTTCTATGTC